AGCTTACTCGTTTTGTTTAAATGAACCTTCGACACAATTATAAGTTCGATATACACCGCCTTGTAACGACATGTCAATGTCTATTTATCACTGCTGATATACACACATTAATGTGGTGTTTCATTTGATAAGCTCTGAGACGCATGTGTTATATATCCAGCATGTGTCTTGTGAGGGTGATGTTTTCTGTGACAGGAAACCGACAGACAGATTTTCTCCATTATCATGGATAGTCAATCATAAGTCATTTGTAACATCTATGGAGAACCGATAGTCGTTTTCTGAACGACGTTATCTTAGAGATACTACCTCTCGACCTATGCCGACAATGCAATATTATTATATGGACACTTTCCTGTTGACCTGGATATAGGTTCTAGTTCTGTGCCCTTTGCCCTAAGGTGAGGTGAGGTGAAATTGGGTTTAACGTCGCGTCCAAGATTATTGCACTTATATAGCGACGTACTAGTCCGGACTGATGTCGATTTATTTTGCTAGCTCACCGAGATGCCATGCCGCAGTATACCCCACTCAGACACAGTATACTGGCTCCAAGCCGACCAGTCCTTGTTTTAGGCCCTTGATGCCGAGCGCCAGACAGGGTAACAACAAGTACCATCTTTTGGTATGACGCGGCCGGGGATCGAACCTCGAACCTTCCGCTCTATTGTCCCCTTTAAACCTGTACTGCACCTCTTTTGGCCTTTTCATCCCATAATGGCCCTCTTCAAAACCGTACTGTCCCTCTTATCCCATATTGGCCTTCTTCAGACCCGTATTGGCCCGGAAACATCCTGTTGGCCTTTTCAAACCGCATTGGCCCTCTTATCCCGTACTGGCCCTCTTCAAACACGCATTGACCCTCTTCAAACACGTACTGGCCCCCATTCAATTGTATGGACCCTCTTCAAGCTTGTATTTGCCCTGATACCCTCGTACATAACCTCCATGAAACTTTGTATATGTAAGATCTTAGTTACCAAATTGCAGTCATATTGCATTGACATCACAGGCGATCGAATGACTTTGAGTTCAGATTCAAACCGCTCCTTCTAGGAATTACACGTGTGTGCTAAAACGGCAACATTTTAATTATGAATGTAACACGCCAACGCCAGTGATTAATTTGCCTTAACAGATTCCATTGGGCGCAAAAGGCAAAATAGCAGTGAAAATTATATGAAAGCATCCCCACGTCGAACATATATCCCTTCAAGGAACGACAGGTAGTGCAATGATATCTAATTAATGCTATATGAATGGTATATGAGATTAACATATCGTGTCGTTTTCGTTCACTAGTGTGTTCTGTATGATAAATGGTTCCAAAGACAAAGTCACCTTCATAAAATAGTGCTGAGTAGATATTCACGCCTGACACTGACTGATTACATGTATATATAGCCGACTATAGGATCTCATATTTTCACTAATTCCAGGAAAATGAACTGCAGGATGCAATAAGTAAGATTAAACCATAATAAAGACATAAATACTCATACGTTACTCAACAGGCGCTTCAACAGCTTGCTAAGATATTAGCATCAGGTGCTTCTGGCATTTAAGCTGAGTATCTATCATACAAGCTGACATCTTTCTTTCAAGGCATGTGCTAGGCTAAACCGATTCGATGATGCCCCAAAATTAAGACAACATAGAAAGGTTTACCTAAACAGATAATGTGTTCCATTTATTTCTGATTGAATGTTGTCTTTCGAACTGAACCAAGTTCAGAAGGTATGGGCACGCTTGATTGTCCTAACTTCATAGCCGAAGAAAGGTGAGCCATTGTCATGAGTTCAGTGATAACATGTTTCGTTGGTGAAGGCCTGGGACGAAGCGTGCTATAATGTCGACATAGGTTATCAAAAAGAACAAGCAGAGTAAAAAATAAAAACCTAAACGGTTCCATTTATTCCCGACGATGCTGCCACAGGAGTTTGCTACTATAATCGGCTTGCTTGGGTAATGGGAAATTCAGGGTATTGAGATTACTATTTACACATTGCTGGTATGACAAATTCAGCGCGGCTTTACAAAATGTTATGCAGATTTGTGCAATGAACACGATTTGAATTACACGGGTACATCTCGACGAAATGAAATTGACTCCATTTCCCAAATGGAACCATTCATGTTTAACAAATCGGTAAAATATATTTGCTACATGACGTCCTTGTTGGTTCTGAAATCCCGGAATAGATACGCTGTTACAATTAAGCTTTCTCAAATCTGCGTAATCCGTCTTGCAACACGAATGTTCTTGACTCAACATTGCTTTAGCTAATGCCGATCAAGGCGTTATAAACTTTACCGAAACGTCATGCAATAACGACCCATGGGGGGTCTGCCGAAAAAAACACAATTAAAAGTATTAGGGCTGAGCAAGTTCCCAATAGTGCTGACTAACGTTTGCAAGCAATGCATTTGGATAAATTATTGTAATGAATATTCATCATAACTACGAAACTTCTAAGATGTTTAAGTAGGCACGAATGTTTTGAAAAAAAGGTCATGTACATGAAGACCGAATTTGTATTAACTTTCAACTGCTTAAACCATCAGGTTGTTAAAGCATTTGGGTCGTCATATACTCTTCTTTTCCCGATGGCCCACAAAGTGACATACAGCTAAATGTTAGTCCTCTACGCGTCGTGTCTTGATGTCCCCCGTCGTTTCATTCCTGGAATACTACGGGAGAAGTAACCAAATACTGACTCTACAGCTTTTAGTGTCGGTTGATCTGTCTGCACACATGTGTTTGGTTTTCTAATTCGAGGTCTGATGACGTTTTGGTCTCGCACTGCCTCATACATCTACAACATTTAATGGTCTGATGGACACTGATGGACACCCCATCAAGTCATATCTGGTTCCACCATAGAAGAAAGGATTACAAACCTGCAGTAAACACAAAGGGTTGTTGGTCGATCAAGTCTGGCGATGTGTTTGTGTGAAAAAATGGCATAGCATGAATAATGTGTCTGATTCTCTGTGCTTGCAGTAATTGACGTAATGTGGTCCTGCGAAGGTTGTCTCGACATTCTTCTGGCAGCGTTCACATAGAGCGTAACGAACAATATAAAGCGAACACAAGTCCATCAGTACCGAGAGAAAACATGGTCAAGGAAGACCCGAAAAACAACTGAGCTTAAAATTCGAGTTTCGAGGAGAGTATTCTTGTTGAGGTAGCAGGAGATGTGTAATGAGGTGCACACAAGTGTGTGAAGACGGATATCAGTAAATGTTTAATCCACAGTTCGTGATAACATAGTTGTTACATACCAACTATTTAATCCGCAATCCAAAATATCCAGGTGCCCTCCTTGTATAGTCATATGGTAATGTCCTTCGTGCATGTAACAAAACTTCTTCATTCCTCTTCTGGTTTCTTAAAATTCCTGAGATGACCCCCGGAGATAAAGTCATTCGGTATCAAGTATAGCTGGGAATGTCTTCAGTGAATTGGAAGTACCGTATTCGACGTAATAAGCACCCAGGGCGCTCTCAAAATTAGAAATAGGGGGCTCTTATTAGAAAATTATTTTGGTGGAAAAAAAACCAATGTTAAAGAATAAATTTCGAGGTTTATGCTGACAGCCTGAAATGTTTATATACGACAGATATATGTTTCCAGAATTTAATTGCCGATATTTAAGGGTGCATATAACACACTAGTGCGTATTATACGCGAAGCAATAAATCTTGTGTACATTGAACAATCGGAAAGGGTGCTAATTGGGATCGTTCACTAGCCAATATATTAGCAAATATCGCCGTGGGCGCTTATTAGAGCGGGGCGCTTATTACGTCGAATACGGTATTTGTCCGTAAGGCATTGTACTTTTAAAGATATGGAATACAAGTAAACAGAGAGGCAGGTTGACATGGGCGCTCTGTCCTTCAATAATAACTAAATACAGTTGTCTTGATAAGGTCAAAGTGACAAACCGTTGTTAGGAGAAGTATGCAGATACTATTTGAGACTACTGTGTATAAGGACAACGATATTTCTTTATCATTAAACTGGATGAAACTTCGATTACAGGCACAGGTGGCAAGTGAATACATGTAGACAGCAGACAGACCCGGTAACACGATATTGAACAGGTATATACATAGAATCAAAAGGATTAATTAGAAATGTATTGTATTCAAGCCTCTTGGAATTGGAAACGTACAGAATACAAGCATTACGTTGTGCTTCGAAACATGACAGTGTCCTCAGCTGTGTGTAAACGTTCAACCGTAGGGAACACGGAATGTATAATAGAGGCAAATGGGGCTTGGTTTGGCAAGTCGATGAATAGAGGTGCATCCCTGGTACCACACTTCTCGGATCATGTATTTTAATGACCTATTTATCCCAATTTTAATTCTAGGTCTGTTGGCGCCATTCGTGGGCTTCATCAATGATGTAAACGTCTTCGACTTGCGTCACGTTAGGCTTTCATCCCACATGTAACTAGTAAGCAGTGATGTAACTGTATACGGTAGTTCCAAGCGGCATTCACACCAACTCACGCCCACAATGAAGAACAAATCCCTAATAGTACATACAGTATGATCACAATTATATCGACTCTGGGTTGATTTATGACAGATTTTTCCACAGATTTTATAAAATGTATTAACTTGGTGTTTGTTTGTACATGTTGACTGAAAAGTTGTATTGTATGCGCATTTACCTGTCTATATGTTGTGCAATTCTCTCTCTCTCAATCAAACCCGGATCCGTTGGCCTATGCCATTTGGTTACCCAATTTCATTTTGTGATATGTCATTTTATTATTTCATTTTATTTTATAAATAAAATCAATGCATTCTGCATTACAGTGGTGTCGCGTTTATCATTGCTTCATCTCCGTAAACATTGTCCACTTCCGCGTCTGTTTTATCGGATTATGCAGCCGAATTCCCAGAGGTCCATCATGTTCACATTAAAATTTGTGCTTTCCATCAGTCGAGAAAAATATTTTGAGTTCCGTGTCAACGTATTGTCAACACACATTCTGGACGTAATATAATATAAATGCTGAAGGGCAGTCTTCCGCATCGTTGGGTAGAATTACACTCCATTCAAGTAGAACCAATTTCCTCCAACCATGGAAGTGGTGGAATGGAGCTGACGGTCACGTGACACCATCAGCCTTGGGCAAACGCTACTGAGGAAAGTTGCGGTTGGCCTGTCTACATCTGACTATCAAAACATTCATCTCCAACTCACACAAGTGCGCTGAACGTCCAGTCATGTGAGGTAGGTGATACATATACTCCTTGAGGGCAATTATTGTACAGCAAAGCTTTTAGCGTCGATACTTAAATGACAGCCCGCTATGAGGTCCACTGTCAACATTATATGTAGTTTCTCGTAACAACTTATGTTATTTCAGTCTGATCGGAGAAGTGTAACAGCTTCCTTGTGTACATGCGTGTTTATCTGCAATGATTTGTCACCAGTCAGCGATAGACGGTGTTCCAGGTGGTAACCGTGTTATTATTACACATATAATTCATACTGTACTTCTCAACAAGCAGTCTACAGAAAATGATACATTAAACCTGGTCTTAATGTTACAGTAGCCTTGTTAGTGTACGACTTGTTTGTGATGTAAGGCTCGACCTTGTTTGCAGGTGTTCAGATAGTGATCAGATGTGTTATCTCTTATCCTTTAAACTAGGCTTACCCTGTGTGTCCAGCTACGTTGCCTTTGAATGATTACATGTCATGACGATAATGCAGCAGTAACTGCACAAGGTAGTGTGCGCAGTGCATGCACATATATAACCCTGGTGGCTCGGATCTATGTAAAGGTGGCATATGTATTTTATGTACACATGTAACACTGTTAGTTCGGATCTATATACAGGTGGTGTATGAAGCTCATGTTCAATGTATACCTCTTAGTTCGGATCTACATACACCCTGTTAAATGGGATCTTTATAAGTTGTTATATACAGTTCTGATTTGTATACAGGTGGTATATGCAAGTCATGTACAGTGTAACCCTGGTAGTACGGATCTATATACAGGTGGTATATGCAAGTCATGTACAGTGTTACCCTGTTAGTTCTGATCTGTATACAGGTGGTATATGCAAGTCATGTACAGTGTTACCCTGTTAGTTCTGATCTGTATACATGTGGTGTATGCAAGTCATGTACAGTGTAACCCTGTTAGTTCTGATCTGTATACAGGTGGTATATGCAAGTCACGTACAGTGTAACCCTGTTAGTTCTGATCTGTATACAGGTGGTATATGCAAGTCACGTACAGTGTTACCCTGTTAGTTTTCATCTGTATACATGTGGTATATGCAAGTCATGTATAGTGTAACCCTGTTAGTTCTCATCTGTATACAGGTGGTATATGCAAGTCACGTACAGTGTTACCCTGTTAGTTCTCATCTGTATACAGGTGGTATATGCAAGTCACGTACAGTGTAACCCTGTTAGTTCTGATCTGTATACAGGTGGTATATGCAAGTCATGTACAGTGTTACCCTGTTAGTTCTGATCTGTATACAGGTGGTATATGCAAGTCACGTACAGTGTTACCCTGTTAGTTCTCATCTGTATACAGGTGGTATATGCAACTTATGTCTAGTGCAACCCCTGTAGTACGGATCTATATACAGGTGGTATATGCAAGTCATGCCCAGTGTAACCCACGCGTGGCCCAGTCTTCTAAAGCGCCGCGATTCGCTGTGCAGAGTTACGTCCCTTGGGCACGCCAGAAATCTATGATTGTGGGTTCGAATCCCGGTTCGTCCCGATGATGTTTCTAGGTTTGTCTGCACCAAACCCGTGCTCGTGGGTTTCACCAAAGTGCTTTTCTCGTACATTAAGCTGACACGCTTTGATATAACTGGAACACTGTTCAAAGCGGCGTTAAACCAAACTCACTCACTCACTCGGATCTATATGCGGGTTGTATGTGAATCCATGTTTCGTTTTCACCACAATGTAGTTTCATGCATTGAACTGATAACACATATACCAACGTAAAATCATATTCAATGCACATTGTGCCCTGGGGACAAGTTGTAAAATTTAGATTCTGTTCACGTTTATGGTGATGAGAAACATACGATTTTCCCGTTGAATTCCATGTCAATTTATATACATGTTGTAACATTGTGATGCTATTTCGTGGTATCTGCTAAAAATAAACTGTGTCAGATTATCACAAAACATTGTGATCAATACTACCAGCAAGCTCACAGGGAAATATAAACTAGATTGCGGAAACTGTTAGCCTTGGCATACAGAAATGCAGAGACTAGCATATAATGTACATCAGTCCATGAATTATCAGTCATTGTATATAAAAGGCAGAGTTGCGTCACTCGCGTTTCATAAACCTATGAGACCGCCTCCGTGGTCTAGTGGTAGAGCGTCCGCCCGTAGAACGGAAGGTCCGGCGTTCGATCCCCGGCCGCGTCATACCAAAAGACGTTTAAAGATGGTACTTGTTGTTACCCTGTCTGGCGCTCTGCATTAAAGGGCTAAAACAAGGACTGGTCGGCTCGGAGTCAGTATACTGTGTCTGAGTGGGGTATTCATGTTAAACTGCGGCATGGTATCTCAGTGGACTAGCACTATAAAATCGGCATCAGTCGCGACTAGTACAAGCAGCCGTCGCTATATAAGTCCAATAATCTTGGACGGGATGTTTAATCCCACCTGCATTACTTCCTCCCACATCCAGATGGCACGTTGTCTAATGACTGACATACTGTAAGTGGCGGCAAACCACACTCACTCAATCACCCAACGTATTTGACAAATGCCTTTTATCGTCTATGAATATAAACGTGAGCCGTCAATTATTTCGGTTTTGTCAAACACATAAAAAAACTGGAAACAAAATCCAAGATTGATCCCAGACTATATGTGTATTATGGCTATCGGTTAAAATGTCCCTGCGGTTTTCTTGGGTGTAGATTGGTTGGTGTAAGTAGGTCAGATAATCCAGGAAATGAATTGTTTTATGATATCCAAGTTGATGGACCCCTGCTGGAGTTGTTCATTGACCTCGTGAAACATCCTGTTGGACGTGATATTAAGTCGATTATGTGAACACGAAAGAGCACTACGCAATATTAATATGGAGCGTGCAAGAGCGATCAGCTTGCCAAGCTCCGGGACGGTTTAATATTCTGGAGGTAGGGGTGGTGGGATGACTAGGAGTTTTCTTTGAGAACAGAATACGAACATGTATTCATAATCAGCGCTGATGTACAAAGTAGTTTGCAATGATAATGAAAACATCGGGAACTAACATGTTTCTATTTTCCGCACAAGTGACACCGTCTCATTACAGAGTTCTATAGAAGTATGACCTATGTAATTTGAACTTGTAATTATACGAAAGCCGTGATATGATAGCGTCAGATAGGCATTCCATTTTTTAGATATACGTGGAACACCACAGCTGCTACTATCAGGGGACGTATAGCTGGTCAACCATGCCTCCTACTTCGACCTATGTAGTTACAGGAATACTGCTACTTACGTGTTCTGTAGTACCAGGAACGACAGTTATAGGTGTCAATTTTTGTTGCTATAAAACATATCAAGTCATTCATTCCTGTCACATCGGATGGTAATGGTCTTTTGTCGTTAATTCGTTAAGCGGTGTTAGTTTATTGAACGTTTTAAATAATTATATCGGACCTTGTTATTTCTAGAGTGATGGAGTCACATATATTAAAGTTATATAAATGAATCTAGTCATCCATTTCAGACCCATTGTGCGCGCGCTTATACTAGAATGGAATTTGCTCGTAATGTTGTCAAGCTGGTTTAATTTATTGAACATTCGGATGATAATAGTGGTCATAAATTGTAACACATCAAGACTACAGCGACCAGTAGAACTTGTCATGATTTAAAAACACACCGGTGTCATGTAACAATTTGTTCATGCATTTCCTTGTATGAAATAAACGACCATATCGTGAGCCGACATAAATTGATGTTTTTAGTAAATGATTGATAAAAGGGATCCGTGAAATCTCAACATCATTCGTGGAAAAGGAATTGAATTGTTTGCATGTAACCCACCAGTAAGAATTATACACAAGCACATTGGTTAACACGTTTCTATTTTGAAATTAGAACGTATTTATATGGACAGATGACATACATGTATGTTAAGTGCTTCTGTCACAGAGTATATGCTCTTCTAAATATTATAAATATTTAGGAATCGTCATTTTCTGGTCAAAAAAGTAAAATGTCAACGCCAGAGACTAACCAGTCTCGATTATCATCCGAAACAGACTACTATTATATGTGTAAAAGGTAAAATAGTGATGAAAAGTATATGAATGGATCACTGCAAATCTAAGACATAAACATAACATGTGAACCCTACAAGCTAAGAAGGGTGCATTAATTATGTATATTACCCGTAAACCGTTTTCACAATGTCAAAGTATCACATATTCTGTGGGGTTACACATGTCGAGAGTTTATTTTCTATGTGTAGGTAATATGTATCCAGTAATGATGTAAGTAGGCAGACATCTTTAACCAAACACTTGTTATCAAATGCTGAAGTTACGCGATGAAAATGGCAACATGTATTACTGCCACTACAAGCAGGATTCTCATTTGTGTGAAACACCGAAGATTATGGAAATATATGTTATATCTATACAATGTTTTCAAACAAAGTTGTAACGATATATAATTTCAAAACGGGCAAGATAAAATTATGTCTTCAAAGGTTCTTTTGTTATTACATGAAGATCGACACTTGGTCCAGAAAAACAGTCATTGGATTAAACTCCAAACAACGATCTAGTCCGCATATTGTGTAAATTCCAAAGCCTGGACCATAAGTGGAATATTCAACAGCATCGTTATTATGGAAATGTACATTCAGCCATACTCAAGTTCAACATGTGTAATTATGATTTAGTTGAAGATGCATATCACTTTCTCCTAGTACAGGTATGTCCATGTTATTCATGAGGAAGAACACTTCTCATTTCAAGTTATTTTCATACGTTCCCATCCACATCGCTGCAACACAAAATGTAAATTTCATAATGGGTCTTGCAATATATATCTGCCTGTATAAGGATTATTTTTATTTTTATGTTTACCAGTATTTTGCCATTTACGCCCAATTGAATCTGTTTCGGACGATAATCGAGACTGATTATTCTCCGACGTTGTCGTTATATATTTGTAGCAACACTGAAACTCCTCAATTATAATAATATTGTACTGCTTGACCAAGC